CACACACACACACACACACACACACACACACACACACACACACACACAAACAATCATAAATTACACCCAAACTCACGAGAGAAATAAGTCTAGGCCATACAAACATTTCGCCCGGCCTGGGAGTCAAACGCGTAAACCTCTGCGTGGTAAATCAGCACGGTAACCGTTCGGCCAAGGAGGCAGTTATGATTGTAAATATATTTAAATTGGAACAATCAACAAATAAATTGTTTTTGAATGTTTTCGAATTTCTAGAAGTGTGCTGTTGTTTTGTCTATTCCGAAGTAATGGAGGGTTCAGTTATTTTTGGTACTAAACATCAAGTCTTTGTTATTCAATCTTTTGATAGTTCTATATTTACTGGTGACCCTCTTTTTCTTAGCGTTCCATCTTGGTATTAATAAATTATAACAAACTAGTGTTGTAAATTGTTAAAAAATTATTGAATATCATAATAGTAAGTATCGTGATATTTCGTAATGAGAGCACGGCGGGTATAATTCCGCGTATATATGTACATATGTATATGGACGACAACACACTAGACGCGCCCGTCCTGCCCTCGCGCGTAGTGTGTTGTTGTCCATATAAATACACGTAATTACACCCGCACGTGCTCTCGACCCGACACGCGCCCGACCCCCACCCGTTCTCTGTGTGTTCCACGCTAAGAGACTTGGCCAAGTGAAGAAAAACTTTTATAGATGTCTTACAGATGGCGTTACGGCCAAAAAGTCGTTGAAAAACCAAAAATCTGCAATAAGCACCTAGAAAAATGTGTAAGGTCTGCTGGTTCGCTCAGTTGGGAAAGTGTCAGGTACGGTATGCTGAAGACATTTTCTTAGTGTTCGATCACATGTAGGTACCAGAATTCGGCCACATACATCGTTTATACGAGGTCTTTGGTAACTCTGTAGTTTTATCCGACTTGAGCTTCTGTGATATAGTGTAGGGATTTTGCTTATTTGAAAAAGTAATAAAGCCATACAAAGGGTTAGGAATATCTGCATAAGATACGCAATGCCTTGTTACCACATCACACCTTATTTATGTAAAAATATGGAAGTAAATTTGCCAGTTTCTTGCATATTTTGATTGAAAAGCAACTACCATCTTATTTACAGTCGGGTTTTATTACCCTGCAAAATATAGTAAACAAGTCAAAATATTAATTATTAGTAGTCATCGGGTAGTTATAAAAATGAAACAGTAAAAAAAATATATAATATGCAATTTTCATACAATAACATATTTTATCTTAAAAATACAAATGAACAATGATCTTATCAAGTGCGTATTAATAAAAGTAAACAAAGTCTGTGCTGGTACTGAAGCTGCAACTAAATATACAGTGTTATTGTAAAATACTATAAACCTTGCAGGACTGTATTATAACATCTTAAACAATAACTTTTGTTCTATCTTTTGTACTATTTGACACTCTTTAGATCTGTACTTGGTAGTAAGGTAGTAAGTTCAAATGTGCAAAGGTCCTCCCCGCCGACATCCACTCATACCATAACATTACACCATAACATTACACCGAGTTATCACCGTTTAGAACAATCAATTTGAGGACATTTTTGAAAGTAAAATCTGACGAATTATTAAAAGTCATGAACCAAAATTTGTTGTTTATTATGTTAGTAATATAGTCCTGCGAAGTTGGTAGTGTTTTACAAACAAATCTGTATAAACTGACAAAACTTCTTCCTGAAAATAAATCATACGTCATTAACAAAGTTTTCATATTTGCAAACTTAGAAATTGACAGTCTGCTGCCTTAGCTTAATGTGGACCCGTGTGTGCAGTTAAAAAAAACTCATTGTTACCTTGCCGTAATACCTTTTTTAAATTAATTTCAACTCCTTTACTCTTTGAATGTCAGATGTAACCCCAGGGCATAACCAGAAACACAGACGAAATGTCATTTAATTTGTTTGAAAACTATTATGCCAAATCATTACGGTAACAACTGCGCTCTGACTGGCCAACCCGAATTCGTAAAAATTGACGGTTATCGTCAATTGTTTCACTTCAAATCGACCAGTTTAAATAGAGCTTTGACGAATATAAATAATATAATATAATAATATAATAATAAATATAAATATAATGGACGAAAACTGAAAAATTACATTCGATTTAATTACTGACGAAATGTGATTCCGTTTGTTTTGTAATTAGATGTTTTGCTGTTTTTCCATAAAGAGTTTGTCAATAAAGAGTTTTGTTTCTTATCCCCAGGGGTTTCTCGCAGCCTTATGTTAGACTTGTGCGTTGTTCGGCCTAATCAAATACAATCCTCAACGTTGTCCGTATGAATATTCATGCAATCCGCAACATCATAAACCAGCCTGTACATTTCGCGGTGTGTAAGCACACATGGACAATTAATTAATTGCCAGCCAGCGTTGGGCAACAGCTGGAGTTTGGTACGGAATGGATCGTTAAATTTTATGGTCGCGCCGCGCCATCGCTCTGGACCCGTTGTCAATAGATGTGCAATAGGTGCAATTTGAATTTGAAATTAGAGTTGTGGGATTCGAAATTTGTCCTGAGGTTTCACTGTTCTAGAATATTAATTTCGCTTTTAACAAAATGTTTCCACGTACGTTTGCTTGGAGCATACAAGAACGAACTTACTTTAACTAACTAAAATAACTAACATTAAAATTTAAACATTACAGCACTCGTTTAATTTCAGTTGCACATATAGTTATGGTTTCAAATAGTCTTATTCTTCTTGTTACAGAAAATTTTCAAGGTGACATTGCAATCTCGGACATAGATTATAAATACAAACCTGTAACTAATGCACCACCATCATCCAAAATCAATAAGTCTCTTCAAGAAGAAGTCGAAAGACTCAAGAAGGAAGTACTTCTAGAAGGACTTCAAGTGGAAGAGGAAGGCTTGCCAGATATTTTGAGAAAGAGAACAAAACAGCCTTTACCACTCTCACAAGAGAAACCAAAGAAGTATAACGACGCCTCTTTGATGACAAAGGTGAGATTTACCTTCTTATCAAATTCATTTTTATTTGATACTAGTTGATATTGGAGGTAATTTGATTTTTTGATTCACAGAATTTGCCTTCAGGCTTAGACAAGTCAGTTTTAATGAAGAATGGTAAAATACCCCCAGGCGAGATGATAGACAGTTCTACAAATATCAACAACCAACCAGATTTCTCCAATTCAACTTCAGTTGTAGATAACTTAACTGAATCTGAAAGTCTGGAACAAGATGGAGTTCTCGTGGTTAACGTATCAACTGACAACATATTGAATTTAGACGAGTTATACCCAAATATTCAAATGTCTAATTTCTCCAATAAGATGGACGAAGTTACAAACAAGATACAGAGCAACAGTAGAGAAATCACTGGAGATTCTAATAACAACATTAAGTTCAAAGATTTACCAGAGAATATAACTGTCGCTCCTGCTCCTACTAATGGAGTTATTCCGACTAATGAACAAGGAGAAGAAGACAATGTTGATAAAGAAATTGTCAATACAAAGAAGAAAGATATTGCAAAGAAAATAGAGGAAGATGATTTGCTTAAGCCGACAGAAAGTTTACAGAGTTTGATTGAAGAGACGAGTGGAAAAAGAAGACGAAGACGAAGACGGCACGGCAGACGGTAAGCATAATTAAAATGCGCACTTGTCCTTTTGAATCCATTTAAGTTTTAAGGGTTTAAAACTCCAGCAGAACAGGCTTTTACGACCAGTAACAGGAAATTGTCTACCGTAAAATTAAGTTAGTGTGAATTCACTAATGCTGAAATTAAATTGTAATACGTAAACTTTGTAAAAGTTCGAAGTAAAATCAGAAATCAAACAAGCTTACGACTCTTTGAAATCGCAAGCAAATTGGACAACGGTTTTATTAATTTAAAACCTAATATTTTAAATAGAACTGCTTTTGATAAGCTGCATTCAGCAGAACCTTACAGAATTAGCATATTGCTGAAAAATATAATTTCTGAAAACATAATTGAGTCCTGGGAACTCGTTAATATAGAGCCATACTTATGTTCCTTTTTTGGCCATTTTTAATATCCTTAGTAATATCGCTGCTGAACTTTTAACATTGGAGTGAAATATTTCTTGTGTGAAATATAAAAATTGCAAATGACATCTACAGAAAAGAGTGGAGAAAATTTGCTAGAAAAAAAATTCTAACTTGAAGGTGTAGGGAAGTTTACGGCGTCAACGACTTATTTGCCTCTCAGTTCCATTTATGTTTTCCTAACTAGGGTACTCTTTTTTTCTTCTATACAGTTCTGTGAATAAGGCCCGAGTGAGGCATATTTGCACTGAATGAATAGACTCCTGTCCGTACCATTGGTGCTAAGTTTAACATAGTTAAATTTAAAGCAACTTCCAACTTTAGCCAACTCAAACACTGTCAGCAACAGGACACACATCGTTATAATTATTATATTTGAATTACAAACTACTAACAATTCCGGTTACAATGTGTCAGTTCATTCATAAAGTTTATGATTGGATGTTTTAAATTTCACTGTTGATGTGAACTAAACACTACACAGCACAAACAAAAATATACAGTTTTTTTACTGGTTAATGTAATCAAAATAACTACAAAAATAGAACTAAATTTGACAATGTTGACAATTTCCTATTCTGTGACTCGTTATCGTAAAATTAAAAAAAAAATACATAGTACAACATTGACTTACAATTATATGGACGTCGGGTCCGCGCTAAAGAGTGTCCGCACTTGTAAGGCGCTAAAATCGTATACAGAGCGCGACACTCCGCTTTAGTCTTCATTTGTTCTACTGACAGCGCGATACTGCGATGACATTACAATTTAAATTTCGAATAGGTTGACTTGGGACATTTTTTTCGTGGTTTTTGTATTAGACCCGTCGTCCATGTATTTGTAAGTCAATGAGTGCAACACAGAACTCTGTCGAGAACAAAAGATACATGTAGTACAAAGTCATAAATGTCAGTGATAAATGTCATTTATCACTATCTTTTGTTCTCGACAGAGTTCTGTGTTGCACTTATAATTGTAAGTCAATGGTTGCACTACAACATTTTATACAAATAGGACTCTATGCGAGTAAAAAGAACTCTCCTTTTTTCCTAGTAAAGATCGGAATTAAACATAGGCGCAGTGCGCTTACAAATGCAAAGCATCTGCATTCTCTCTGATACCTTCATTCATTAGCCACATTCAAATGTCAGATGAATGTTCTCAGTTTTGCAAATAAGATTCCCGCGCGCGAGTTGTTGGAAACGAGAAATTATACTTGAATTGAATCATAATTGCGTTCATATTAGCGTCTACTAATCCGTACTTAGTGCGAGTATAAAGTACATTATAATTATATTTATTCATTTTTAATCGTATTTAATAGGTGATAAAGTAATAGGAATAAGTATTATTTAAAAACTAGTTCATCGATTATTTAATTTTATATACTTCCATTATTTTTTTATGTTTTTGTTTTAAGAACCAATGATGAAACTTTTTTTTAGCCAAACGTAAATAACGAATGGTAAATAATTTCATAAACTTTATCTTTCAGATTAAGAAATATACAATCCACTGTAAGAACAGGAGAAAACAATCTAAAAACATCGGTTGAAAACCACAGTTCACATAGAAGAAAATTTTTTCGACACCAAAGAAAGTTTAACAAGGAACATAGATCCGCAGAACGGAAATACGAAATTCCGGAGCACGAGTTCGAAGAGAAATTTGAAGTAAAAGTACCACCGAAAAAAAATAAAGAAAACATTACTGAAGCGAATGAACAGTTCAAAGGCTGGTTTTTTCGAGATTCTACTGACGACTTAGAAGCAGCTGAAAGTCAATTCTATAATAATACACAGGTAATACAAGCGATTTTATAAGTCTTCTAACATAATAATACACATAATAATTAAAATGTAGTTAAATTGAGTTTATGAACAAACTGAAACTGTACAGTACAGTTAAGTGGCATTTTATTTACTTAAAACTGTTATTATTATATTTAGTTTGTGTTATTTGATTCAGTATCTAGCAACGGGTAAGAGTTATTAGCTTATTAGAAGGTTATTCATAAAATCTTTTATAATATAGGTAAATGATTTTTTTTTTCCTGTAGAACGTTAAACGCCATCGCTCCATTCGTGCCGCAACTAATCGCAAAGAAAGAATCTGGGAACATGGTGTTATTCCATATGAAATCGACGGCAACTTCAGTGGCGCTCACAAGTCTCTATTCAAACAAGCCATGAGACATTGGGAGAATTATACTTGCGTCAAATTCGTTGAAAGAGACGCTGAGATGCATAAGGACTATATCGTTTTCACTGAAAGACCCTGTGGGTAAGTTATCTATTCTTACATTTACGTGTAAGAAATTTAATGAAATTTTTAACGACTTCACTTTAATGTGAATGATCCTGACACAGTTTTTTGTGTCTTCTGAAAATACCTATATTTATATATAGGATATATATATATATTATATAGTGTGTATTCACTATGGGCGCTAGACGGAGAGAATCGATATAAATTGAGAAATACACTTCTCGAAACTGGTCCTGGTCTGGGTCTCCTGGGTAGAGCCCCGGAGTTAATTTCGTTGCTCTAGTACACGGAATTACCCGGCACTTGGCACTATTTATTTATTTTTTATAAGCCTGCTGTGTCTCACTATTGAGCCAAGGCCTCTCCTCCCTACTTCCATAGTTCCCTGTTCGACGCAGTGTTAGTCCAGTCTTTAAATATGCATCCAAGTCATCCTGTCGTCTCCTTCTTGGGCTGCCTCGTCGTCGAAGTCGGTCTCCACCTCTCAACAAGTAGTTGTGTGAGCCCATCTCTGTGGGTACATGCGACAGATGTGTCCAGCCCAATCCCATTTCAGCTCGGCAGTCCTTTTCCCAACATAGGTTATACGTATCTTAGAAAAACAGAGTAGTGTTCCGGATTCTATCCATCCTCCCTACACTCAACGTTGACTGCCGGGTCGTGATCGTACTTTGTGTTCAGACTATCCAAGCAACATTACACATTATTAATGAATTTCATGTGATGTCATACTTACTTAAAAACAACAGAACAATTGAGTAATATTAAACCATGTGAAGGTATGTGAAGATAAATTGTAATTGAATTATAATAAATAAAATTAAGTTCAATATGTTTCATTCTGTAGATGTTGCTCATTTGTCGGAAAACGCGGAGGTGGAGCGCAAGCAATTTCAATCGGCAAGAACTGCGACAAATTCGGCATTGTGGTTCACGAATTAGGCCACGTCGTTGGTTTCTGGCACGAGCATACACGACCCGATAGAGACCATCATGTGCAGATCATCCGAGACAACATTATGCCAGGTAGGTATTCTTTTAGTGATTCTTTATTGATGAATTGAGCGATGTCCAACTTATATTATTGTTATTATTTGACATAATATCTTGGTCTCAAAAGTAAAGTGTCTCGTGTATTTGTGTCTGTCTGTGGCATCGTAACTCCGAAATGGATGAACTGATCTCTAAGCGGTTTTTTTATTTATTTAAAGGTTAGTTTAATCGGGATGGTTTTTAGCTATTTTTGATGAACATCTGTATAAAGATCATCAGCTCTTTTCTCAGTTAGTATAGGGTAATAAAATGAATATTTGTTTTGTTTCCACTTGTCCCATTGGCTTGAAATTTGATATACTTTAGAAATCCGATGACATTACAACAATGTGGTAACCTTGATCTGTGCTGAAACCAGGACAGTCTGCAGATTATCCTATCTACTATATCTAAAAGCAACAAATATGAATGTAGGCCTGATTTCGAATTTAAATTTTGAAGTAGCAGATAGATATACAATTTTTGCTCACACACAAGAACACATGTTTGAACAACTTAAA